CTACTACTACTACTACTACTACTACTACTACTACTACTACTACTACTACTACTACTACTACTACTACTACTACTACTACTACTACTACTACTACTACTACTACTACTACTACTACTACTACTACTACTACTACGATTACTACCACTAGTACTACTACGGCTACTACTACTACTACTCATCCATTCCCTTCCCTTATACATAACCTCTCCCTGTCGCACCCCGAGGCAAGTTTTAAGGGCGGAGTGGGAGTTCGCCTGCAACTCCCTCACCACGTATGACCCTGAAGCGTCAAAAATTGGCAACAGCGTCAGGGATGGAGAGCGGGTGGTTTTCAAAATGTGGTTCTCGCCTCAGCGCCGCGCACATTCCTTTTTTTTTCAAAATGTGCAAAAGATTCATGTAATGAAAGCGACCCGTTTTCAAAATCTGGCTCTCGCCCCAGCGCTGCGCAGATCCGCTATACATGTGCAAGGGCTTCACGGATTGAGGGCGATTCCTTTTCAACATAATGTGGCTCTCGCTTTAGCGCCACGCACATTCGTTTTGCTAAACCTTACAAGAAGCTCACGGCTTCCCCTGATCAGCATACAAGGAAATTGAGTTCTGGAAGGACTCAGGCTTATGAGGGTGCAGCAGGTACGTTGGCTCGCGGAGTTAAAGTCCCAAGAATAACGTTATGGCACGATTCTGGGTGGTCAAGACGCAACAGTCAAGTTGACCCATGGCTTTGGAATCCCGAGAACAATGTTTTGGCATACTTCAACATCTTCAAAAAGCTGCCTTCCACCGAGGCACTTCCTCAAGTGGAAATGAACCGTTGTAGGGGCTTACGAAGAGGGAGCTCGGAGGGAGGGTTTATTCCAACATCGTTGATGACTCTTGGGTTTACAATGGTCCTCCTTCTCCTCCTCCTCCTCCTCCTCCTCCTCCTCCTCCTCCTCCTGCTCCTCCCACCTCCTCCTCCTTCCTCCCCTCCCTAGTAGTATTATTCGTCTTCTGCTCCTTCTTAATGTTATTAGTATTATTCTTATTATTCGCATCCTTATTATTATTATAACTCGTATTATTATTATTGATAAAATTACTAATAATTAATATTCTTATTGTTATTAATCTTCTTCTAAGTATTATGATTCTTCGTAGTATTAGTAGTAGTGTTCGTATGATTAATAATAGTAT